CTGCCCATAACAAGAAATCCAGGATTTAAAGCTTTAGTGTATTTGGAATTCCAGAGACAACTTGTGCTCCATCCTCTTCTAGAGCAACAGTCAGCCAACAACATGCACCCAAAATATGGTCCTCCCTTTCTCTTAGCAAACACAATATACTTTCCTGGGTCCTATTAGACAATACAGTTTCTTGTGCAATATGATTCCTGACAGAGTGTACTCAGGAGTCAGTAGCTAAAACTCATCATCTGGCAGTTCTATTTTCAGTCCTATTGTGTGCCCTCAGAACTGCCTTTTGATCACTCTCCTCTGGACATTCATCTGTTTGTCACATTAAGGATCTGTTTCTACACCGAGCCTGCCCCAGACACTCAACTCTTGAGCAGGGGTGGTAGGTTTTTTCCCACTGCTTTATGATTAGTGAGGGGCATTTAGCTCTCAGGAACCTACTCTTGTGAGGGCAGAAAGGAACAGCTCCGTGCTTTGCATCTGCTCCTCACACCCCCCTACCACAGAGGTAAAGAAAGCAACACCGTTATTCTGTTTCATCTGAATCCTGGCTGGGCAGGAAAGCAAAAGACAGAGAGAGCTGGGGGGATCTTCCTCTGCAAGGAAGGGTGAATTTCACACACCAGTTCCACTTCTTTGGCTCCAAGGGAAGGAATGAGTCTGAAGAGGAACAGAGAAAGATCAGGGACTCTCCACCAGGTGACTCCTCCTCATTGTAGGGTTGCTACTCCCAGTATTGGCAGGAAAGGCTTGAAAATTCACCAACTCGACAAACTCTTCAGCCAACAACCATTTATAACCACAAAAACCTTTACCTAGTAGAATCCCTTCTCCCATAAAAGAGAAAGAATACATCTCTCCAGAGCTGGAGAAAAGGTGGAAAGGAAGCTTTTTCTCTGCTTGCAGTAAATGAAGACAGTTTTGCTTTTTTTTTTACTCATCATCTTTGCTTTACTGAAAAGGGAAGTAGTATTTAGATGGAGTTGTAATACAGTAATACAATTTATTAACAAATAAATCAGCATAAAAGTGCAACTACTCTAACTGCACCGACAAGAGATTACTTTAGAGAAACCGAGAATCTAGAAAATTAGTGCCATGTGGATCCTGCAGTCAGCAGGGCAAGATCATGAGAATAAATGACTGCTTGCCCTTCTTAATTAGGGAGAGATGGAACTGTTGCATAGATCTTAAAGGGAGGCACATTTAAGACCACAGTTCCTGTCCTGGGTTACAGTACTCAGGTCAGAAAAAGCACCAATCACTGAATAATTTTTACAGGAAATACATGGGAAATAGACAAAGCATTTGGAATGAAATCCTGTAAGGAAAGTAAACTTTCTGGAATGGGCAGAATTTGTTTTGTTCGTTCTTGAACTCTGCACAAGTCTCACACGCTCATCAATGAGGACATCACAGGTTAATGTACTGACCGTGAGCAGAAACACTGAGAAAATCCTCCCTCCTCCATTTTTAGCTCTGCCTAAGGAAGTCCATCAGTGGCTACACCTACACAGCTTCACATTATGTTCTACAGCAGTAATGCAAACTTTCTTTTTTTTCCTACAGTTTAATTATTTTCAAATACTTTTAATGTGTTTGATCTCTTTTCCCGTCTAAAAAAAAACTTGCCAGCAGTTTACTGTGTAGGAGAAAAGATGGTTAACACAACATAGCACTCTCTTGACAGCTTTAAGTTTAGACACACATTGCTTGGACCCACAGCTCAACTGCAGTTGCTTAAAGGCAGACTCATGTAGATGGACATGGCCAAAAATTATCCAGGAATCACAGAGCACTCACTCTACTTTGGTTTTGTATCTAGTACTTCTAAGGCAAGTAAACTAGAGGAATCCATCTGCAAAGGTCTTCCAGTGTCTATAAATTAAGTAGATTGACTACTCAAAAACTTTAAACATATTAATTACTTTTGCTGAAAAACAAACCTAACCTCCTGTTCTTTAAGCCATGCTGTATCGGTTTCAGGCCAAGAGCTTTCCTTTTCCCTCTCACTTTTTTTTTTTAGGTTTAATTATAAAGTAACAGGAAAATAATTTAATTATTTCACAACACAGCCTTTTCATAAACACACAATTATGTTCATTTCATGAGAATTTATCTTCACTGTGAAATCAATCGTCACAGTCTCCATTTACTCTACATTACCCAGTCACATTTGATTCCTGTCAGAGAACTGTTGACTTCTGCAGTAAATCAAAATGACAGATACTGTTAAGTTTCCTTCTGCATCTATCCCCAGGTCTCAGCTAACTCAAGATGGTTTTTCCTTCTATGCAGTGAAAGGAGTATTTTCCTGGTAACTATATTTCAGAGCTGGAAAGGTTTTCATAAATGGAAAAAATGCAGTGCATAATCCAGGAAACTATTGAAATGTACAGTATCAGAAACATATGGCTGAAGCAAATACCTATGCAGTGAGGGGCTGGGAATGAAAAAGAGAACAAGCTTATTAAAATTCTTCTCCTAAAGGGATTTTACTTGGAAATTAAAATAACTTAATTGAACATTAAGAAAGTTTGCACGGCCAAGGAAAAAAAATGCTGCAAATTATGGGGGGGGGAGAGATACAGAATAATCTCCATGCTATCATGGAAGCTGGAACAGATGATTTTGCCTTTGTTCTTTAACAATCTACATCTTTAATAGCAAAATGGCTCCATAACCAGAACCCTCAGTGGGCAAACACTGAAAGCTGATTTCTTTCTCAGTTGCTAAGATTTTTTTAATTAAAAAAACAACCACTCCACCACCCCCCAACCAAAAAACCCCAACCAGAAAATACATTACTTTTTTACGTGAATTTTGAAAGGCAAACCAAATTCAGACACAAGCCCCCATCAGAAACCAGGAATCAACAAGTTATCATAAAATAAAACAACAAGACTCTTTATTTCAACATATCTTTATCGATTCCCTGTTTCAGTTTCCCTAAGAATGTGGGATAGGGGAGAGAGTCTCTACTCAAGAACCAATATTCCTGCTTCTACTGACACATCTATGAAGGAGAGGAGACAGTGGAAAGTGATACTAATCTTGTTTTGACCAATGTGAGCCAGCAGGCAGAGTTTTAGAAATATCAAAAATCAGCTGGTTTACAGTAACAGTGAAATTGTTGTAATTGGAATTCAATAAATATTTCTTCAAAAACAACTTCTGCCTCCTTTCACGCTGGAAGACTGTCTCCATGAACTGCCTCTCCTAAGGCAAAGGTATTTTGTCATCATACTGTTGTGCTGTCATGTCTTAACATGCCCATGAAGATGTAAGGATGTTTTTAGAGCAGCTTGCAGAGGCTGCTACTCCAAGCCCAAAGGGGCAGGGTTATTGCAGACATGGCAAACATTTTAGACATCTGATTTTGAAATCCTTGCTGTCCAGTGTCTATAAAGATGAAGTGAAAATGCGAATGTCCAGCTATTTAATACCCAAATAAATCCCAAACTTGCCAATGGAAATGCATGCTTCTCTTGGATTTTCACAGCAGTTCAGTGATTAATATTTAAGACAATGATAATATTCAAAGCCATTAGCCAAACCAAAGGAGAAACAATGAGCTAAAATTAACAAATTTCTCATGGAAGGAACTTAATACGTACAACTGATATCAGCCCACCAGGACAGTTACCTTTCTTGACTGATGTCTGTGCAACACCGGGATAATTTACATGTATCTACAGTAGAATCAGAATCACATGCATTTCTAGCATCTGAAAATCAGGGACGTTTTTTAAAAACATGACAAGTTTTTCCAAAGCTTTTTTCTGTGCTTCAGAAATGCAAGTGGTCAAGTGTTTGAAATCTTATTCCCAGCTAGTATGTGTGTGACATACTTTCAAAGGGCATCTCCCAGCAGACCATGTCCCCAATCCAGGCTGGCTGAGGTGTCAGCAGACACAGGCAGTGCCTCTATGGGTAATTCACAGCCAGACTCACATTGCACCCTCAAGTTTCTGGGGCCAGCAGAAACCTAACAGCACAGGAATCCCGTGCTTTGCTTTTGCTTTGCAGGAGGGAGGGGCATTTCTTGCTTCTGAAAGTTCTGGCCACTATTTCTAGCCAGTTCAGGAGCAACAACAGCTGGCTCTGCAGGGACATCCAGCCCCCATCATCTTGAACACCTGAAGGTATTGCCAAGCTTTAGTGATGTGAGGGAGAAGCAGGTGTGAAGGGACTTAGCAGAAGAGAAGAGGAAAACAAAGACATCTATCGATGCTACCCCTACAATTCACTTTACCTATTTTCCTGAAAAACAACTTAGAGAAATTATCTGCTAAAATGCAATTCCCCTGAGACAGCTACACGTGCAACTCTCCTCCTCAGTAAAACAAAAAAATGTACAGGTCACTTGCATGTCTTTTGTCACGTTTCCTTGCCTTATTTGTGCACAGCAATCTGAATTGGCTGTGCATGAGGAGCAGGCTCCCACAGGGCACCCACACTACTTAAATCAGAGGCTGGAGTCTGAAAGGAAAAGTGCAGGGTAAAAACTACAGAACCAAAGATTCTATTAATTGGAGAAGTGGAGGAATCTCATTCAGCAGCGTTTAAACCCAAACAAACAATCAAGTGACTCCTAAGATTAAAGACAGGCAAGATTTTCCACTGGAGAAAGTGAAAAGCAATGATGCTTTTGTGATTTACACCAGCTGAATCTGGTCACAAGGTACAGAAGTCATGAATGTTTTGGTAAGCCTAGGTGATTGCCAAAGAAAACAAAAATAGGATCAGGAGATGATTATTCAGCCATACGGAAGAACGACATGACTCATCATGGACTTGTTTCCCCCCATGAGTGGCTGGGAGGACACTAACCTTTCATCCCATGGTTATGCAACAGCAAAGAAGCAGATAAATCAGGAATATCAAGATGCTTGTGTATTCGACATGGTGGAAATACCAGAATTGCTCTTATAGTTATTGAAATGCTCAGCTAGATAATAATTTTATAGAAGTATCTCCAGAATAGCACATTTTCTCACCTCTGCTCCGTGTTAAACAATGCAAAGATATGTTTGCTGGACATGAAGCTCTTTTCAACATCTCGCACTTTCAAGTTGTCCAAAGGAAGCATATATTTCTTCTCTTTCTCCTAGAAAAAAATAGATTAAAACAACAATATGTGAGAAGTCTCAAAAAAGCCTGATCTCAGCAAGCTCTGTTTAATTGGTAATGACCTTGATACATTTGCTATTATAAGGAAATACCCAAAATTTAAATGTCTGCTTATCTTTCATAGACATACCTGCAAGAGAAATGAAACCTTAATTTCAGTTCTGTTTTTTCACTGACCCTTTTAAAACATTTCTTAATACAAAAATTCCACATCAAACACATAAGCATCTACATTTATTATTCTTCATTCCTCTGAATTCTAAAAAGGAAAGGGTCAGACTTTACTAAAATGTGTCTGATCAATAAAAAACTCTTCTACTGTGCCTGCATAGCGACTGGAGTAACCAATAACATAAAATCAATCTCTACCTTGAATTACTATTATTAATTATTTAGGGTGACATTTGATGAGCCAACCAGTAAATTTTCATTCCTCCACTGAAAAATACAAAACCCATACAAATCAATCAAAATCATACTATTATCAAGGTTTTATATGTACCATCTAAAACCAAGATCAGACCCTAATCTAACCATCTTATTTCTCCAAATAGGAATGATCTACTAACTCTTGCTGTAGCCAACTCCTTGGGCAGTTTCATCACAACCGTCATTTACAGCACAATCACTGTAATTTCACCTTTTCTAAGTTCCTTCCTTCCTGTCACTCCCAATTAAGGACTAGTAACACTCCTGAGCTAATGAATCATGTAAGAACAAAAAAGCCCTCAGATTATTAGCTGTTTCCATTATGGTAAACTTCCTTGAAGTCCTTGCACTGATGGATAAACCAAAGCAAACTCCTCCATTTTGCTTTGCCAACACACCTGATGGACAAGAGGGGTGATATTTGCACCCTCAATACCCTCATTCTGGTCTTGCACATCACAATAACATTGCAGACAAGGGTACAGTTTAACAGCTTTTAAAAGCCACTAAGGTACTGTTAAGGCTGGTGCCATCACCATGGCAGCCATGGAGGGAGGAGAGGCTTTATGCCCTGGAATTTGTGCTGTGGATACTAAATGGGGTTCCCGTGAATTTGGCTACCCAATGGTTCTACAGAATTTCAATAACTCACCAAAGCTGGAGATATTTGGATTCCTTTACAGTCCCTTATCTGCCATTGTGAAGCAATGCTGACTCGTCCCTGCCCAGCCACCAGCAGAGCCAAGCTGTAAAGTCCAGCACCACTGCCCTTGCTGGAGTACTCTGCACTGGGATATCCCTTTTGGGGCTTGGCTCAAGTAAGAACTATGCATGGGATAACAGTTTATTGTCTGCCACAAAACAGGACAAAGGGACAATCCAAACTAGGATTCGTTCGTCTCAATACATGTTTCCCAGAAGAAATACACTGGAGTCACTTCCAGAGCACAGAACTGGAAGGAGGCCTCTCTAGGCTGTGTGTTCTGGGAGGGCAGATGCAATTCAACTTGGCTAAGCTTCAGCAGATTGCAAAACTAAACTGGATGAGAAAGGCCTTAAGAGTGAAACTATAAAAATACAGTGACATGTCCAATAACAGCTCACTTTCCTAGACAGCCTCATACCAGGCCTCAGCAGAGGAAAAAGCATATTTCAAAAGCCTTCTGGGAAAGCATGGCTTCTACTGTCTTGTTTTCTGAATCCAAAAGTTATCAAATTCAGTATATAACACAAACAAAAAGTATCTGACGGATTTTCAAACTACCCCTGGCTTAGCCATCCTAGAAATTATTACTCACAAAAGTTCACACATATGTATATTCCTCACCCTCTCATCTAACAACAACTGCCATGAAGGAGTCTAGTTCTGAGCCACTCTACAGCTGCTTATCACAGTTCATATCTATATTCTTCTTCCAGGGAATATATACTCTCTGAAGCTTGGGGGCTGTCCCTGAAAGGACATTGCACTGTCATCCATTCAGTGAATATTACCACTGAGATAAATAAAACTAAGCAAAGTAAACTCATAACTTACCAATAAAAAATAATTAATAGCAAAAGACGCTAAATAAAGAACTTGCAGATCAGATATTTATGTATGAAAATTAGAAGTACACTGCCTTCTAATACTGATTTTTATTGATATGATTTTGCTGTTATTAACTTATGTCCTAAATAGCGTTGACAGCATTTTAGCTTTGCTGCCTTGACAAAGTGACACACGCTTGAAAAATATTCTAGTATATAAATTCATATATTAAACTTTGTATTATAAGCAAATATGTTTTTTCAGTTGAAAGCTGGACTGCATGGCAATGTAAGTTACTTTGTACTCTATTTCAAAAATTTAAGACAGGTTATATACAAAAAGTATTTTTGGGCAGAAATATTCCATTTGGGCTGACTTATTCCATCATAACTAAGAAAAAAAAATCTAGATAAGCTTAATTTTTTGCTTTAAAACTTATCTTTCAGTATCACAGAATATGCTTATAATGATTTACTATTCAATTACAAAAAATTCAAGAAGTTTCTGATGAAGTGTTTGTTCTGACAGACATTATTTACTGGCAAACCAAGCAATCACGGATGAATAAAAATAGAAACTGATGAAAAAACTATACCAAGAATTTGATTGTCTAAACAAAAGTTCCACAAGCAGGAAAGTTATATAAATGTTTGATGCCAAACTGTGAGAAAGTGTTTCTTCTGCAGCCACCAGGAAAAAGGAAATGCCTACTGAAGGCTAAGAAGTGGTTGGTATTTATTTACATGGCCTCCTACCCACATGCTGAGACAGGGCAGTTTCCAAGAAAGGGAAATCATAGGGTGCCTGTGCTGGAGGCAAACAGAGACAGCATGTCACATATGAGAGATCAGAGCTAAATACTGCTTAATTCCAGGAGAAAGGTATTACTGTGACATTAAAATGTGGCAGCAAAACTCATTGCAATTTTTTTGCACCCCTCCCCCCAAAATGGGGGAAAATATACGTAAATGGAGAACGAGCTAATTCAACAGCAGATAAGCCCAACAACATTTCAGCCTAAGCTCAATTACTATTATGTTGTGGTAGGGCAAAAAAAGCTTCAGCCAGGACTATCTGTGCATGTTTCCCCTCCTAAGAGGCTGACAGGGTAAGAAACAGGGAATGCACGAAGCCTGGAAGGAATGGGGCTAGGCACACTTCTATGAGTGACTACATGCACATAACTGTGGGTCCAGTTTGTCCCACTCAGCATTTGTTCTTTTTTATTTATAGATTTTTATTTTTATAATGGGGCAGAGAACTTAAGCGTGACATGAGGGGAAAAACCAGCACATGCTGATCCCACGTAAAGACTTTGCCTCTCTTTTTCCAGAGTAGAGGAGAAGAAGGAAAAAGTGGGAGGCAGCATGGCCCATTCCTGTTCCTGTGACATGAAAAAAAATTCCCCGTACTCCACCTTAGAAAAACAAACTAACCTGCTGGCCTGGGGAGCCTTCCCACCCTGGAGACGATGTTTTCACCACTCCTGGGCCTAAGTAGCACTCACATCCTTAATGGACTAGTTCTGTTCTCCGACAGGCAAGTAAGCTGCCAGGAACTGACAGCATGATGTAAATATGCCATATTACAACTGCCCCTTCCCTCTGCAGTGTTTAAATGTACTAAAAATAAATACTCCTGAAGTCCAAAATGGCACAAGGGATACAAAAAATATAAGAGCAGCTCCCCTTCCCCCAGCAGGGACTCAGCCAGCACTTCCAGGCTAATGAACTCCATCGCATTTTCAGCCAGGGGCAGAAACCGCTTCAAAAATTATTGTCTGCTTTTGGAACTTTTAGGCTCAGTCAGAACAGCAGAAAAAAACCTTGGACACAATGTCAGCTAACTTTGCTTCAAAGAAAAGAGATTGTTAAATTACTTCAACTTCTTCCAGTTATCAAAGATGATTGTCATTTTTATTTGTCACTTTAGGATGGCTACAGTGCAGTGCCAGCCACAGGACAGACTCTACTCCCCAAGAAAACAGCAGAAAAGTTCGTGCAGGACAATTCAAACACACAATACTCAGATTCTGAAAGGCAGGTCTGAGCCCATCTTGGCCTAATCACACCTTCAGTTACGTCAAGGAGAGTTGGGCTGGTTTGCTCACCACTTCCTAAATTTTCAGAACACCAGCTTCCACATGGAGGGTCAGGACACCAACCAAAACCTGTCTATGGGGACTGTGGGGACCACAAGTTCCAAAAAATCAAGCTCCCAACTGAAAGAGGAAGCCATACTGGAATAGTTGGCACAAATAAAAACTGTAATAGTTGGCACAGCAGGATTCATTCTCTGCATCATTTGTACTCAAAGCACAAACCCCAAGAGTATTTACCACGCACTGACAGCAAATGTAGGTATCCACAAAAGGCCATTAGTATGAGGCATTAACGAGGCAAAAGAGTGAACTGCTTTAAAATCATAAACTGAAGAAGGACAGCTTTGAAATAAAGCTTGGGAACAGCAGAGAAAAAGGTTGGCATTTCTGCCTCTGAACTAGATTTCCAGACCAGCACTGTACTACTCTCTGTATTTGTTTGCACATTAATAGATTGGGGCTAATACTTACCTGACAATGCATTTTAGTGCCCTGATTGCAGGACACCTTAATGATGCCCTGCCATCAGTAGCTGCTGGCTTGATCTTGTTTCTGCCAGCAGCTGATGGCAGGGCATTGTTAAGGTGTCCTGCAATCAGGGCACTAAAATGTGTAGGTGGAACACCAAAGCCAAGTAGCTATTTGGTAAAGCACTTAAGGCAGCAGAGGCAGAAAATAATCCCCAAAATAAAGATGTTCTATAGTACTGTACTATATTATATGGCCAGATCAGTACCTGCATTTTACAGAGACACAAGAAGCGGTGTCTTGTGAACCTGCTGAGCCAGAGTGATCTATATTAAAGAGAGAAGAAAAATAATAGGAAGTATAAGGAAATACCAGCAGTCTGTGCCTGTTTACTCCTGAAAAGGAAAGGCTCAGGCTTGTTTACACCCAGGACCTCTCACTGGCAGTG